TTTCAATGACGTTTACATAGTTGAGAAGGATGCATGCTCATGTGGACTACTGATTAGGGTGGGAAGGTTGAGGATTAGGAGAAAGTGGATGAGACCACTGTTTCTAAATTTCCTTTTCTTTCTTCCTGTATCTGGGGGAAAGAGGAAGAGGAAGAGAAAGGGAAAGCCATACCCAGCATCCTAACCATATCAGTACCTGGGGATAGGGGACAGCCACCTGATGTCATCCCAGGGTCCTGATATGAGCTTGCTCCAAAGGTTCTGCTCAAGTGGTTTCAATAGATCTGAAATGCTGTCAGTCTTGCCAATTGAAGAATGAGGAAATCCTTCCAAGGTCCATTAGCTGATAGAGTCTCCATTTGCCCAGATATTTGCTGTCAATGCTTGGTTGGGGTAGTTGTCCAATTTGTTCTGCCCTCTATCCTCTACTGTGGTACTAGATGTCCTCTACAGGCTCCAACGGGCTGCCATATCTTCCACGTGCATCTGGCTATTCCATCCACTCCTCCATCACAGCCCCTGAGGAGGTCTGATCTGACACATGCACTCCACAGTCACACCACAGATTCTGCATTTTTCCCCATGGTTTAGAGTTCTGAGTCCAGTGATTCAGTTGAGGGGATCCCCCAAAAAATCTCATCTGAGGTGACCCCAGACCTGACTCTTGCATGTGCTTGCTCAGCCCATTGCCCACATTAGCCTACACACACACTGGTGGTTGCAGTTGCTGGGTCAATTCTGTCTCCAGCCCCATCTCTTATGCAAACCAATGGATGCTGTGGCCTAGCCCAATCCTGCCCACATACGTTTAGTCCACCCATACATTAGCAGAAACTGAGCCCAGTTGGAGTGACACCCAGTAACTCCCACTAGGTCCACTCCCAGCCCTGTTTCCTGTGTTTGCCAGTATGTGCAGCAGACCGTCTGTCTGTCTGGGTCCAGTCTGTCCCACATCCCATTCAGCTCTCATACACATCAATGGGCATTGGAGCCTAGCTCAACCCAACCAACCCCATTATCCAGCCCATACTCATGCCAGCAGATGCCACCACCTATCTAGCCAGGCCTGCCTCCAGCCCTGGTTTTCATGTTTACAAGTGAAGAGTTACAGCCCTTCAGAGAGGTGCCTACAATTTCCCTACTGGGCCCATTCCTGGCCTAGGATCTTGTACTTTCTAGTTGGTTCTACGGTCTAGTCTGACAAGTCTTATCCCTAGTCCCAGAACTTGCCAGCTGATGCTGCAGCAAAGTGCAGCCAGCCAGCCTGGCTCATGCATGTACCAGTTCATATGCTCACGTAGCCCAGCCTGGCTCAGTGTTTGGCTGGGGTAGTTGTCCAATTTATTCTGCCCTCCATTCTCTACTGTGGTGCTAGATGTCCTCTAAAGGCTCCAATGGACTAAGCTCACATGCAGGTCAACATGTAGGTCAACGAACCCAGCTCACATGTAGGTCAACAGGTGTTGTAGTCCTGCCTGGCCTGGTCTGTCCCCAGTCCCAGTTCACATGTTCACCTGTGGGAGCAATGGTCCAGTAGAGGAGTCCCTACAGTCCCCCTACCGGATTCACCCTGGGACTTACATGTGCTGGTAAGAGCTGTGCCTCACCTAGCATCCACCAGTGGGTTTTGCAGCCTGGCTCAGCCAGGACTGCTCCCAGTTCCAGTTCATGCTGGCATGTGATACAGCCTAGCCCATCCAGCCTCCAGTCCTGGCCCTAATTCAAACTGGCTGTTGTTGTAGCCCAACCCGGCCCATCCTGTATCCATCCTGGTTCTCAGATAGGCCAGTAGGTGTTACAAACTGGCCCAGGCTGGCCTGCCCCCAGACCTGAGCCACACGTATGCCAGGGGTACCCTAACCTGGCCTGGTCTGGACTATTCCCAGCCTTGCTTTTTGCTCTCACCTTCAGGGACTGCATCCTGACAAAGGTGTTCCCCAAGCTCCTCTATCAGGTCTCCTTCCAGAGGCAGATTTCACGCACATCAGTGGATCCTTGGCCCAGGCTGACTTAGTCAACTCCTGTCCTGGCAGGAACAGTAACCTTGCCCAACTGGCCCACATCCATTCCAGTTCTTACTGTTGGGTGCTACAGCCCAGCCATACCTGGTCCACGCCCAGACATAGCTCATACATGGTTTAGCATGTGCCAAGACCTAGTCTAGCCTATCCTATATCCTCCCTGGCTCTCACCAGAACCAGTGGGTGCTGGAGCCTAACCCAGTCTGGCATACTCTAAACCGAATCCACTCCCATGCCAAGGGATATTGCAGTCATGTCCTGGCCAGATCACTGCCCCCATTCCAGCTCCTGCACCAGTGGGAACTACAATCCAGCCAGGACATCCCCTTAGCTCCCCAACCAGGCCTGTTTCTAGCCACAGATCTTGCATGTGCCAGGAGTTGCTCTGACGCAGCCTGGCACTACCCATCCCCCATCTTTGCCTTTGCCCTCAGATGCTGCAGCCTGACCTGGCCTGGTCCACCGCTGGCCACAACTCTCACTGGTGAATGCTACAGCCTAGCCCTGTCTGATCTGCCCCAATTTCTGGCTCATGCAAACCAGTAGGTCTGATAGCCTAGTCCAGTATGACTCTCACTCCAGTCTGGCTCCTGCACGTGCCAGTGAGCAAAGGCTGGCCTGGCCCTGCCCATTTCGCCACCACCCAGAACCAACCCACACATGTGCCAACTGGTAGAGCTGCCTTGCCTGGCCTGACCAACACCCAGGCCTGAATCACATGCCCACCAGTGGGAGCTACGGCCCAACAGGGAAGTTACCCTAGTTCTCGCACTAGGCCCACTCCCAGACCTGATCTCTCATGTGCTAACTGGTGCTAGGCCCTTACCTGGCATAACTTGTCCCCTCTGTTTCAGTGTTCATATGAGACAGTGGATTTTGTGGTCCAGCCCAGCCCACACCCTATTCTTGAGTGCTCTTGTAGATATTGCATAGGCTCCTGACTTTGGCCTGGTCAACTCTGGTGTTGTGGCCATGTGGGGAGTGAACCCATGGATGAAAGATTCTTGCTCATTCTCCCTTTTTGACTCTGCCTTTCAAATAAATCAAAATTTTTAAGGAAAAAAAAAAGATTTGACAGGAAGTTGGAAAGCAAGGAGCAAAAGCACGTGGGATCTAAGAACAGCATGTGATGGAATAGCACAGTCAAGTCAGGAAATGACACACAGCTGCTCCCTGCTGAAAGACACAGTGTGAGGGAAGACAGTGGGCAGGAGGCAAGCATCCATCCCTGAGGGTCATGGGTTGGACACCAGAATTCATCTGATGAAGATAGGAAATCACAGGAGAGTGGTCCATTCAGTCCTACAAGACCAGTCCTTAGCCAGTAAACCCAAACACAGCCTCAGCACTCACGGCCCTTCGTGGGTGTGTGCAGACACACTGTAAAGCTATTCCTCTCTGCTCGGGGGCCGTGAGTCCCAGTTCTTGCTCACACATTCACTCCCCAAAGAATACAAGGCCTCCCCAAGAGCCTATTCTCCAGCAGCATCTTCACGTGCTTGGCTGAAAGTAGCAGCAGAGGGCAGAAGAGGCCCACAAATGCTTTGGAACATCTCTGTCGCATCCACACAGAAATAATCCTCAACCCTGTCTTTGCACAGTGCTCTTCCACAGGAACATGCATGAGGACACGGGGGTCTCACGGCCATGCGGATAACCCAGCAGTTGGGGGCTGGCCCTGAGACTGTCCATGTCACACAAGCCCCCAGGGCTAAGCAGTGATGCCTGCCTGCACAACACGCCTTGGGGAGATAGAAAAGCATTTTGTATATCATCTGGGGTAAAAGATTTTTTTAAATTGCCTATCTATCTCAAACCAGTGCTCCTAGAAAGCATAATAAAGATGATTTACATGGAAACACATGGGTAATTTAAGTTCCAACGGTGCATCCCTGGATTCAATAAACATGATGCTCCCTACCAAATGACTGGGGTCAGCTGAGTGAGCTCTCCCACCACCTGCTCCAAGCACAGAAACACAAAAAAAAATCATGGCAGTGTTGACTTCTCCTGCCCAGTTTATATGCACAAAGCGAGGAATAGATACCATTTAAAAAAAAAAGGCAAGAAATTTCTTTTTCCGCTTCATGAATATATCCTTTGCCAAAATGGAGCTGATGGGGCCATAAGCCCATAACATGCAGCACTCTGCTGCATCAGGTTGAACTGCTGCCTGTAATGCTGGGATCTCCTACCAGAGCACCAGTTGAAGCCCAGGATGCTCTGCTTCTGATCCAGCTCCCTGCTAATGAGCCTGGGAAAGCAGGGGAAAAATGACCCCAAGTGCTTAGGTCCTGCCATCCACAGAGAGACCCAGATGGAGTTCCAGTCTCCTGGCTTCAGTCTAGCTTAGCCCCTTTGCCACTCTGATTTCCAAAACAAACAATCAAACAAACCAGAAATTGTTCTTGTTATTTTAAATAAAGTTTAAGCAGGTCTGGCCCGGTAGCCTAGTAACTAAAGTCTTCGCCTTGCACCAGGATCCCATATGGGGTCGGTTCTAATCCCAGTCGCTCTGCTTCCATCCAGCTCCCTGCTTGAGGCCTGGGAAAGCAGTAGAGGGTGGCCCAAAAGCCTTGGAACCCTGCACCCTCGAGGGGAGACCCAGAAGAAGCTCCTGGCTCCTGGCTTCGGATTTGCTCAGCTCCAGTCATTATAGCCACTTGGGGAGTGAATCAGTGGATGGAAGATCTTCCTCTCTGTCTCTCTTTCTCCGTATACCTGTTTCTAATAAATATAAATAAATCTTTGAAAAAAGGATTTAAAATTTTGAGCTTAAAAGATACACTTTTTTTGTTGTTGCTCCTTTGTGTGTTACAGGTTTATCTTACCCTATTTCTAACTAGCACATAATGATTGTGCCAATGCATGGGGTACGATGCGATCTTTTGAGAAGTCACGTGTGAGAGAAACAAACCAAGCTCATTGGCAAATCTGTCACTGCAGCTGCAGGCGAGCACAGCCCCCACACACACCTACCTTGCCACTCTTCCTCGAAGATCTCCCAAACCTGAGAGCTGCCGCATCTCCAAGGTCTTTAAGGCAGAATTAGTTCCGTAGCTAATGTTGTCCCTGGCCCGGATCTGCTCCTGGAGTACCTGAGCAACACAAGACACCCAAGAGGGGGGAGCTCAGAATTCACTGCAGCCACAAACGCCAGAACAGAGCGCTTCACACATACCTCCACACAGAGGCTCCACTGTAAGTCATCTGACAAACCCACGTACAAAAAACTCAGGGTGCTGAGAGACAGGGAGAGAGCAGGGAGGGGAGGATAGAAGGGGAGACAGGGGGAGCAAGAGAGACAGGGAGGGAGGGAGAACACTCCCCAACCAAGCCTCTTAATTTACCAACTACACACACAGTTCATTTTTCTTTGTTGTTTCTTCCTTAACAATGAAGACTCCATTCCTCCCTTTTAAATGTATTTGAAAGACAGAGAGACAGCCCTTCCACGTGCTGGTTTACCACCAAATGGCTGTAATAGCTGGGGTTGGACCAGACTGAAGCCAGGAGCGCCCAACTCCGTTCACATCTGCCATGTGAGCGGCAGGGACCCCAGCACCAGAGCCCTTCCTGCAGACTCTCAAAGTGCACTAGGAGGAAGCTGCAATTGGAACCAGCAGACACTTGAACATGGGGACTGCACACATACATGATATGATATACGTATACCGCGCCAGGCCTGTCTTCTTATTTTTATATTTATTTTTTAGTTCCTTTTTACGCTAAGAATATCTAGGTATCCAAAGAACTACTTAAAATTATGTTTTATTTTCAAGCAGTTTCGTTTTCTGGCATCAGATTATTTACTTACAAATGCATTTGCCTATGATAAAAACCATAGCCTATCAGAAATTTAATTTTTTAAATATGTTCACATTTGAGGCTTATGATTGATCCATTTTTTTGAAAATTTATTTATATGAAGGCCCAATGCAGTAGTCTAGCAACTAAAGTCCTCATTTTGCAAGCTCCAGGCTCCAAGCTCCAGTTCTAATCCCGGCACCCCCATTTCCCATCCAGCTCCCTGCTTGTGGCCTGGGAAAGCAGTTGAGGACGGCCCAAGGTCTTGGGACCCTGCACCCCTATGGGAGACCCTGAGGAAGCTCCAAGCTCCCGGCTTTGGCTCAGCTCAGCTCTGTCTACTGCGGCCACTTGGGGAGTGAATCATCAGATGGAAGATCTTCCTCTCTGTCTCTCCTTCTCTCTGTATATCTGACTTTCCAATAAAATGAAATAGATTTTATAAAAAAAATTTATTCATCTGAGAGGCAGAGAGAGAGAGGGACCCCATTTGCTGGTTCATTCCCCAAATGCCAAAAGGAGGAGCCAGTAGTGAGGTTCCCCATGTGGGTGGCAATGACCCAATGACTTCAGCCTGCCCCGCTGCCTCTCAGCATCTATACCAGCAGGAAGCTGGTGTCAGAAGCCAACGCCTGATATGGAACCCAAGCACGCCACTGTGGGCACCTCACTGCAATGAGAAACACCTGCCTGTGAATTTAATTCCTTAGACACACAAATATATGAATTTTTTGTCTGAGGAACAAAAGGGAAAATACTGCCTATTAGACTTTTCTCTTACTTTCTCTAGATCACATTTTCCTGAGTCTGTAAGACCTTTCCAGCTGCGATGGGGGGATTTTGAATTTGCAAAGCATAAAGAGTTCCACCAAGAGTTCTTGACATTTTAACACCTTTTATTTGATCTATTTAGTATCTGATCCATGTATTTGTTGCAACCCAATTTATGGTATATAGTGCTAGTTCTATTATATAACATTGCTTATCCTGTTAAGTGCTTTTAAGGTCAAGTTGTACCTTACCTGATACCAATACAGCTGTTGTTTTATCAATAATAAGGCGAAAGGGCTTTCATGGGGTTTTCATTGCCTTTACTGCCTTCCAATCCCAAATCAAGCACTCCAACCAAAACAGAGATGACGTTAACGCCAGGGAGTGCATTGTGGTGATGAAGTTAACGCCAGGGAGTGCATTGTGGTTCAAAGGAATCCGCCCCCCCCCTTCCCCGAGAAAACTTGTCCCCAGGATTTAGTCAATTACTCAGCAAAAATGAAAGCAGTCCAGCTCGACTTGATTTAGTGTGGAATGATCCAGTTATCATGAAAACAACCCAGTTTCTTCCACTAGATGATTCAAAAGAAAAAACAAAATCAGAAAAAGCTACTGACAACCATATTCATCATAGCTCCTGGCATATCCATTGACAAGTACACTGGAGTGAGCACCTGTGAGAGTAGCCTGGGAGAAGTGGAAGCTAGTTAGGGCTGAGCAGTGTGAACCCGTTCTCCTAACACCCCAGGGAGGTGATGCTCAATACACAGCCAACACTAGGAGCCTTGCTGAAACAGCACAACCGTTGGATGAACTTAGAAAGCAAAAAGGACCCGCCTGAGGACGCACTCAGCCAAACACCTGCCAGAGGACACTTTACAGAGAGCAAGTCAGGAGGCGTGGGCGATAGCTTGGGAGGGATTAACCGAGAATGGGGGTTCAGGTCACACGACCCTCTCTGCACCTCTTGAGGAATCTGTGAGATGTGCAGCCATTAGCTTTGAGAGCATTTTGTGTTTGCACTAACGTATAATTAGACACTCAGAAAAGCATAACTATTTTTGACCATTTATAAACCTTCAATAGTTTTGCAATCCTATTACTCTTGTTATTTTATACCTCAAATGGCCATATATTTTCAAGATATTTTTGTTATGCCCAGGAATCTGTTGTAGATTTTACTATTTAAAAAGTTGCATGCTTGAGCTGGCAGAAGCTGGCACTGGGGGCTAGTTCTGTCAAGTCAAACCACAGAACTACCTGGAGAGAGCATAATCTGGGAGTGGGAGAGGCCTGGGAGGGAAATAGTGGGCTCCTCCCTCTTGGGTTACCACTTCCACAGGAGGGCATAAAACTAGGACAGCAGCTGGGGTGGAATGGGGTGTGGGACAGACTGGACTACTGCTACACATACTGGCAAACCAGGGTAGGGGGCGGGCCTGGTGGGGGTTATTGCGGGTCGCTCCAACTAGGCTGCAGCTCCCACTGGTTTATGTGAGGGCCGAGTATGTGCTGGGCAGAACCAGGCTGGACTGCAACACTCATTGGTTCCAGTGGAAGTTGGGGCTGGAAACAGAACCAACCCAGCAATTGCAACCACCAGCTGATCAGGGCAATGGACTGTGCCAGGCCCTGTGCTTGCTAGTACATACAAGAATCTGGTTTGAGAAACCTCAAACAAAGTTTCTTTGGGGATCTCTCCAATCGAAATGCTGGACTCAGAACCCAAATCAAGAAAAGAGAGAAGACAGAACTGGTCAATCAATCATCTCAGCTATATGTTGGCAACGAAATACGGGGCAAACAGAGACTCTATGATGGACCATGTCAACCAGTGGATTTTTCAAAGACCTCATAGTGCTTGGAGTGGCAAGATTGGCAGCAGTTCATAACTGTGGCAATATCAAAACCACTTGAGCAAGAACCTCGGAGCATACCCTACATCCGGGACCTGGGGAGGGTGGGAAATTGGGTGGGCCTTCTCCCTTAATACCCCCCTTTAAACATGAAGGAAACAATATGGAAATAATAGTCTTACCCACTTTCCTATAGCCCTTGAACCTTTTTACCCTAATTAACTATGTAAAGATTGTCAAAAATATAATTTAAAAAATTATTTTTAAAAAAAAGTTGCATGCTTAAACAGTACATGTCACCAATTATATCCAGAAACAAGGAAATATAAACAGGGAAGGCAGCTTGTTTCCAGACAGTGTTATCCCGTTATGATTAACTCTGCATGGCAATACTGTAGACTTACTCTACACTGCAAACATGATTCATTTTTTGAAATAAATGCTTAACTAAAAATAAATAAGTAAATACTAAGACACAGCCCTGCTTGCTGTCTAATTTGGACACAGCCCTGTTCCCCGCATTTTGGGCACCTTGACTCAGTCAATCCTCGTAACACCCTTTGAGGGAGGTACTGTTATCCCCAAGCTCTCAACAGTTAAGTGTCTTGCTCTAAGTTCACAAATGACAGAGCTGGGACTTGAACCCAGGGAAGCAGGCTCCAGTGACAAGTTCTCTCCCAGAACACTACAGGGCTCTGTCCCTCTATGCTATCCTTGCAGCTTATTTTATGTCGACAGTCGATTTTGCTCTTGGTCATCTTTGCGCCCTCTCCTTTTGCTCAGTCCAACCAGTTCGACCTTTTTCTTCCCTTCAGATCCTAGAGGAGGCGGGAGAGTTCGTCGTCATTCCATGAGTTCCACACATGTGCCTGACTGCTTCCGGCTCTGTTTTTGCTCAGCACCCTTCATACCTGCCCACATCACCCTTCAGTCTCAGGCGACTTATCTGGAAGAATTTGACTGTTTTCCCCTTTTGCCCTTCTCTCATCCCCAACCCCCAATTGCATTTGCTGAAACTACAGCAAGAATTCCGGATGGACTATTAATAAAAACGTGCTTGCACATTTCCTGCATTTCAATAGTTTTCCTTTCTTAACACTTTTGTCACGTAGCTCCAGGCATTGATCATTATACATTTCCATGAGATTCTACTGTCGTTTCTCTAAGGATCTCTGCATCCTTGTTTTTTTGGTTTTATTTTGTTGTTACTGCTAACTCGGAGCTGTGTCCAGATGCATTGCATTTTAGCTAGAGTTCTTTCTCTTGCATTTTCCTGGGACAGATACTTTGGAAGGAAGATCCTCTGAGTCTGCCATGAATGGGCAAGTGGGAAATGGGTAGAAGAAAGAATTAGCAAAAAAAAAAAAAAAAGACCTTTCCTCTCCTTAGCTCTGGCTAAGTCTGGGGCTTCTTCCTCTAGAAGTACCTTAGCTAATAGTGTCTACAAGCCTGGAAGATTTTTCTTTTCTCCATCTTTGGATGTGGTTTGTTCCTTCAAGGGCCATGTCCTGTAAGACTGGCTCCCGGAGGGGCAATATTGGGAGATACTGTGGGCCCACGGAGAGGGGCTTAGGTCAACGGGTGCGTGTGCTTGAATGGAACTGTAGAGCCTGCTGTCTAATCATGTGATCTCTCCCTCCTGACAGGTGCCACGTCCACCACAA